GTTCCCTACTCAGGGAACCATGGTTACATAAGTAACCTGAGACGTTTTCTTTGCTTTTCAAAGGCAAGACATTTTGTAGCAATTTTGAATGTACACAAATAAAAATATACATTTTACCATATGACTATAAATGACAATGTATTAAATTATTTCCCCTCTTGAGGAACAAATCCAAGTGAACATCAACTAATACTCAATATTAATTAAATAAACTGCTTTAGACTTGCGCATATTTCCTGTGCACTTCAATACTGGTCTGCGCTTGACAGTAGTTGCGTTTGTCTGCTTTATTTAACTAGGGTAACTTGTCAGATGTTGTTCTAAAGGCTTATTAGGCCTACCTTCTTTTTTTCGAAACACACACACAAAAATGTCCTGCTGGCACTTACCCATTTAATGGCAGAGAATGGTGACTTTCACTTTTCATTCTTTAAGCGGATGCCAATCTGTCATAAAATAATCATATGCATCTCGTGGCATAGGCTATATTCCAAACGTTCTGAAGGTGTACTGTAAGGTTTGGTGAGAAACAAGCCAAAATGGCAAGTAATTACATTTATGTAAATCTTGTGTTGCATTCCTGTGTGCAAGTGCACAGGAGCTCGCGCTGCGCACAAGTGCATGTTCTTTTGAGATATCAATCATTTTTAAGTTTAATAAAACAAAAGACTACATTATAAAACTCAGAAGAGTATGTATTTTAATATCTCTGTTGTTCTCTTGTTGTCAGTCAGAATGATAGTTCCTGTGTGAACGTTATAGGCCTATTATGTCGTTCCAAACCCGTAAGACCTCCGTTCATCTTCGGAACACAAATTAAGATATTTTTGATAAAATCTGAGAGCTCTCTGACCCTCCCATAGACAGCAAGGGTCCTTACATGATCAAGGTCCAGAAATGTAGCAAGGAGATCTGTAAAATAATCCATGTGACATCAGGGGTTCAGCCGTGATTTTACAAAGCTACGAGAATACTTTTTGTAAGCAAAAGAAAAAAAAAAAAAGACTTTATTCAACAATTCGTCTCCTCCACGTCACCCTAGCGCCATTTTGGAGAGTATCCACTGAATGCAAACAGCGTATGCTGTTTTGTGTCAGCTGCGCCACGCTGTATGCTGTATATGTCGTTTACGCTTTTGATTTGAACGAAAACAACGTATCCACGTGGCGCAGCTGACACAGAACAGCATACTGTTGCGTTCAGTGGATACTCTCCAACCTTTTCACGACGTGGAAAAAAAAAAGTTTTTACAACGTAGTTGTGTTTGCTGGGTTATGGCTTCTTTTTACAACACTACAGATACTAACCATGTCTTTTGAAGCCTGTATGACTTAGCCTACTTTCAGCTGTGGAACATAAAAGGAGATATTTATAGCAGAATGTCCCAATTCAGTTTCACTGAATGGAAAATAACAGTGTGGACATTCTTCAAAACATCTCCTTTTGTGTTCCTTGAAAGAAAGAAAATGATTGAGTTTGTAATGACATGATGATAATGTGTGAATGATGACAGTTTTTATTCATTTTAGTGAACTATCTCTTTAAAACCATCTTCACATTCATTGTAGCTTTACTCTTTGAATGTTGCTTTAAAATCTTTCAACCGATGTTGCAAAATTAATCTCTGCTGCAGATGAAATGGCTTATTTTTGCTTCCAAAGCTGTTGTGAAGAAGACCATATTAAATGTATTTTCTCTTGGTTGACACTGTCTTTTCCTGTGTTAAAGGAGTCAGGGGAAACTGTTAAATGTACAGCAGCATGTGAGATGGACAGAAATGCAACCTAGAACTGCGTAGTTTAATGGTGGTACGGGAGATATAGTGTTAAGGTCACAGAGAACACCTGAGTAGTGATGCCCACAAGCTAACAGCATCCAGAGCAGCTCACCTGTTTTGCGCCCACTACGCTTTCTGCTGGTAGTCGCCCTCGCACACACATCATACCTACAGTACATGCATTGAAATCCTGCGATTTGCAGTCTTCTTTGCGAGTTTGTGCATTTTGTGAGAGAGGTTCCTCAAGACTGGGACCTCAGACACCTATTGATGTTGTTTCTTTGTAAAATGTATTTGATTTTCAAGCAAAATCTTTCCTTTTTTGTCAGCAGAGCAAAATTCAACAAGATGAATTGAAACACTGCCACCTACTGTTGGGATTTATGTGTGAAACACACTTCTAAGGGATGGTTCACTTATTCACTTCCAGAATGGAAATTTACTCACCCTCCACTTGTTCCAAACCTGAATGAGTTTCTTTCTTCTGTTGAACACAGAAGATATTTTGAAAAATGTTATCCAAACAGTTGATGGGCACCATTGACTTCCATAGCATTTTTTTCCTACTATGGAAGTCAATGGTGCTCATCAACTGTTTTTGTGATTTTTGCTGCACTAGGATGTTACTACATGTATTTGTAAAACTGACATCGAGATGAATGATACATTCAGTACTCTGAGATATTGACCTATTGTTCCTAAAAAAAAAAAAAAAAAATCTTATAACCTTTTCTAGTGCCAGATCTCTGCCTCTCTGCAATGCTCTGGAGTTGGTTGCTATGGAGATGCCTTTACATGATAAATATAGGTTGATCACATCCTTTAAGACACTTGGGATTTCTTTTCTGCTAGATGAAGAGCATGCACACAAAATCTTCAAAGAATAAGACAGTTTGGATTTGTTCATTCAGCTATTTTGTGTCCCTTACAGTAATTGTTTATAAATACTTTATTTTGTCTACTCTCTGCAAATCATTGATGTCTAAATTGTTTCAAGGTCAGCATAATCTAATGTAATATGGATGCCACTAATAAAAAAAAAGAGGCTCAAATAGAAAAGCTAAACCAAAAATCAGACAATACAGAACTTTAATGTCTGGAACTAACATAATGTGCTTATCCACTGAATGAAACAAAACTGCTGATTTTAAATGGATTCTAGTCTAGAAGTGGTCAAGTTTGAAGGGCTTCATATTGGATTTGGATTATTTGAAAATAAAAACCTCACAAAGGTTTTAAACATGTTTGCTTTGTCAATCAGTGAAAAATCTTGAAAAATTGCACATTATAATAGTAACTGTAATATGAAATACGAAACTATTGTATCATTGGTACAAAAACTGTGAATTACTTTACAGATAATCCAACAGACCTGAACAAGTATTCAGCAATTAAATATTAAAATCAAAGTAAAAAAAAAAAAATCTTTGATTTCATAAATTAAAAACCCAAAGCCAAACCATAAACCACTAACAAAAGACAAAAAGAGCAGATGTTTAAAACACAGAAATCACTTTATTGAGGGAATGCCTTCCAACAATACAAAAACAAAATAATCCAGAGGCTTAAAGTAATACCATTCCATGAAGATATCTGCTCTGTGTGGTCAATCTGGTGCAATGGATAATCATGAGTGTTGGCATGGCTTTATTTTAA